CCCCTCACACTCTCCCCTCAGGCTTTTCTCACTCCTTAGCCTTTTAGTCTCACCCTCATCCTGGCTATATAACAGAAAGTTATTCTGTCTTTTTCTGTCTCTCTGAAGGGGAAGTTATTCTGTGTGTTTTGCCTCTCCAAAGGGGAAATTGTCTACATTAGGAATTGCACTTAGTTTTGCAGAACCCAGCATCTGTAAGACAAGCCTTCTCAGCTGCTGACATCAATGGCCTCTCAAGCATCAGTGGCCAAGAAAGGAATGCCTTGGCTGTTTATCACATCTTCCAAGGTCCTTCCTCCTTCTAATATCTTCCACCCCCACCAAGGGTAAAAAGTGGAAGAAAGGTAGGATGAAAGAGGGAGAGAGGAAGGAAGGAGCAAAGATGGAAGGGAAGGAGGGAAAGAAGAAGGAAGGAAAGAAAGATAAAGCAAGGACAACCTGCTCTGCTTCGGTAATGAGCTTCCAGCTGTGTGTTTATGAGACACTCAGGAGAAACAGAGAGAACTTTAGGTCACCAAAGTACCCATGGTACGTTTCTGGGTGAGGAAGACTGCACCCTTTGAGAATCAACTATTACATATGTGGCAAAAAAAAAAAAAAAAGAAACCATTATTCCCCCAACCATAGAGCTCATTAGAACACTAACATAGGAAGTCTAGAGACCAGGATCCTACTTCCTACTTTCATTTTTTGCATGGCTTCCTCTCACTCATCTCCCAGGTCTTAGCTTAAATGTACCACCCCCAGGTGTAATCTCCTGTCTGGAATAGCTTCCCCTCTAAACGTGTAACAATTTGAGATGATTTTATTAGTATGTGCTTTTTGGCTGTGTCTCCCACATCTGGCATTAAGCCCTACTGTGGGCGGGAAACTTCCCTATCCTTGTCTTTTCTGTCACTGTTCAACTGTTCTGTTCCCCAACAGCTGGCACATAGCAAATCTGTCATTAAACATCCAGTAAATGAGGCATGTTAGTCTTGATTTGGTAGATGTGGGAGCTGGGGGTTAGAGAAGTGGAGTGATTTTCTCAGTGTCACACAGCTAGGAAATGGGCTCAAACTTAGGTCTGCTTCACCCCAGAACTGCTCTGTTCCCCCATGTAAGGAGGAATGGTTGGACGAGTAACTGGGAGGGGAATCAGCAGGAAGATTTATCAAGTCCCCTCCCACTCTTTCAAGATAACACCTAGAGAATCTCAGGCCTCTGGAGAGCCTCCAGTGCCCTCTCCTCACTGTGTCTTGATGTATTCCAATTACAGGACCAGGCCACTGGCTGATTTTCCCTGAAGGAGTTGATTTCACACTCCAAAATACAGAATCAACCATCCTTGTAATAACTTATTCACTCAAAAGGATCTGACTCTCCCAGCATTATACAGATATTGTTTGTTCAATCCTACCAAACCCATGTGAATTTGGCATCAGTCACATAGTATGATTTCCATTTAAGCAGTTGTCATGCTGAGGGTCAGGTTCCAGCCTCAGCTGAGGGCAGAGAGGAGTGGGTGGATGTGGGGCAGAGGGCTAGAAGAACACTTGAGAGACGGCAGGTAAATGAGACATGGCTTTATTCAGCAGCTCTCTCATCAGCAGCTTACTCATACCGTTATCTCAACTGTCGACTCTGGCTCTGCAGCGCCTCTCAGCAGCTGAAAGACCAGCTCTAAGGCTAGCAGCTTGACTTTTTCTCTCTCTGGGCACCAGCAAGCTGAGCCATGTCCTGGCTCCCCTCCTGTCTGTCTGGCAGATGATCATTGTCCCTTACAGGGGTCAGGAGCTTCACTCTCTCTGAGTGCCGGCACCTGCACAAGAGCCATGTTGAGCCCAAGAGCACAGATCAACAGGGTAGTTATACATTTTCCAGACAATAGGGGCTTTGAGTGGATCATGAGGTCAAGAGATCGAGACCATCCTGGTCAACAAAGTGAAACCCGGTCTCTACTAAAAATACAAAAATTAGCTGGGCATGGTGGTGCGCGCCTGTAGTCCCAGCTACTCGGGAGGCTGAGGCAGGGGAATTGCTTGAACCCAGAAGGCGGAGTTTGTGGTGAGCTGAGATCACGCCATCACACTCCAGCCTGGGTAACAACAGCGAAACTCCATCTCAAAAAAAAAATAGTGGCTTTGAGCTAAGTATGAGCTTACACAAACAGGGTATATAACTAGTGGAGTGTGCGCCTGCATTGTAAACTTCCTGAGTCATGCAGGCCTGGATGTCTGCCTCAGACTATTCCTTAACCAAAGCACATCCATGTACCTTACAGCAGTCAGGATGATGGGGAAGGGAGAAATGTAACCAGAAAGCCCATAGGTACCGTATTTAACTCTGTTACAGTGCTTTGTGTTTTCAGAGTTCAAGAGAATTGAAAAGTAAAAATTGTGGTGTATGTGGTTTCAATAGTCTTGACACCTCCTTTCCATGTATCTAACATTTTAAACTAGTTAAATACATAATTATCATTCCTTAAGTTTATTATATGACAGTATTAATAATACCTTATGGTATATAAAGCACTTAATATAAGATGAAAAGCCAAGGTAGTTTCTTTATAGCTATTAAGCACTGAAATGGACAAGATTTGTTTTTATATCCTTCAATTCCAATTTGCTACATTTTAATGTCTCCAGGATTTTTTTTTGAATGAAACGTTTTGAAACAATTATGCTATTCTACCATATCTTTCCTACAGGAATATTAAGCTTCATGCACCCAGGCCTCACAACACTGTTGGCACTGTGAAATAGAAACACGTATGTTAAATATTGGGCATAATACTTGACCCATAGTAGACACTTTAAAATGGCCACAGTGTACAATCCCTTCAAACTTTCATGTACAACTGCGCATCACACACTTAGGACTCCTGCCCCCAGAGAAATGTAAATATCACACAAATCTCTGCATGAATCGGAATAAGGTAGCATGTAGACACATATTCCATCTCACTTCGTTTTCTCAAAGAGACATAGACGATATCCCTGTTTTACAGATGAGGAAATTTGGAGACGAAAGGGCCTTCTCCATTGCCGCAGCATGGGGCGTGATGCTCTATCATTTCTTTTCTTACCAGAGATGCTATCTTAACATGGGAGAAAGGGTTGGGACATCCAGTGTTGTCTGATGAAACCTAGACTTAAGCATTGAACCATTAAATTCACTTTCTCTTTATTTCTATTACTACTACTACTACTTACAGGAAGAGAACATTTGGTCATGAGAAGTAAGCCAATCCACTGGGGCATAAAGATGGGGTTATCTTCAGCTTCAGCATTCTGTGGCTCAACCCCAGATTGTGGAGTGAGCTGGAATAGCTTTCATCAAGTCCTGTGCAACGAAAGCTAACAAAGTCAAGAAGATCAGTTTTTCTGGACTGCTTGGATGTTGGTTCACTGGGGCAGATAGCCAGCGAGATTTATCTAGGGGTTAAGTCGAAATTTCCTATTTTACTGCCCAGAACATCTGATTAAGGAGCATCTGCTACTTACAGTAATATTCGTTACCATTTATTGAGAGCTTACACAGTGCCAGGATCTGTTTTAAATGCTTCACACATGTCAACACATTTTGCTCTTACTACAATCATTATATCTTTGGTCACATTCTTCCCTTTTTTAAAATACAGATTTTAAAAACCAATCACTTAAAACTGACACACACATACAGACACACGTGACCCACAAAATATTGCTTTGCCTGTGAAGGTTTCACAATGCCTTGCTGTCATTACCCAGTCTTTTCCTATTAAAGTTAAATGGCCAATTGGGACAAAACCATTCTGAGGCTGTTTTCTACCCCGATTAAGATTGAGGTGGCAGGTGTTATAGGTAATGTTCATTTCACCTTCTGAACTTTCTGGAAAGACCTGGTGATCTTGCCAGCTCCATCAGCCTTCTTGTCCACAGCAACTGTCTGTGTCACACCACAAATAGCAAAATGACCCAGAAGAGTTCTCATCGATGCTATTTGTCACTGAGGAAATCAAGGCCTGAGGAAATTAAGCAGCTTTCCCAACGTCACATTCCAGAGCCCTTGACCCCAGTTGGCTTCTGTGCAATAACTCCTCTCACTATGCAAAATGATCTAGTGTTTTCAATAGTGACCACAAACTACTGTAAGAATCTGAATTCTAAAATTAAATTGTGATAAATTGAAGCAATGCAGCATGTGTTAGGTGCATTTGATCGACTTCCTTTAGAAATGAGCAAGAAAGTCTTTTGAGCTTAGCCAAATTATGAAATGAACAAAGTTTAGCATTTGCTTATGTGTCCTCTTCCTATCTTCCAAGCCTCTGTTCTTTCTAGAAGATTTCTCAGAGTCCCTTCTCCTAATTATTGGTGCCTGGTTCTCCACATATTCACATTCTACACCAGGACAGACCATGACATTAACTGTTGAAACTTTTAATAGTTGACTTAGAAATAGCAACCACACAAAGATGTAACCACCAGTGAAAGTTGGAAGCTGAAATATACTGAGATCTTGTGCTCTAAAATAGCACCTCTTAGAAACTCACCTACTCATCCTCAAACTCTGCTCTAGAATTCTCTGACCATGACTTCAAAATATTGACACATATTATTCCAAAATACAAGTCATGTTTATGGTAGAAAATATAGCCAAACAAAGGGAAGAAAGCAAGGATACACTCCCACATCTTCCTACCTGGAAACATCCATTATTAACTAGTTGGTGATATGCTTTGCAGCCTTTGACTATAGGATTATGCCTCTGCCCTCTGAGGCATAACAGCTCTTTACACATTCAACACAGCTCTGTTTTGTCTCTGTCTTTAATCATTCTCTAAGCCACATTTCTGTCACTTGCCAGACTATTATTTTAGATACCATGTCCCCAGTCCTCACTCCATTCTACCTTCATCTTCCAGCTGAACCAAGTACGATAACTTCCCTCAATGCAGACATTAGGCTCCTTTTGATATATCTCATTAAAGCAATATCATCCTAATAACTGCCCTCTTTTTGTTAATTTGTTCTCCACAGCTTTTTGCAATCTTTGCATTTGCAACATGCGGTGGCTATTCCGGAGGCCTGCGGCTGAGTGTGGACTGTGTCAACAAGACAGAAAGTAACCTCAGCATCGACATAGCGTTTGCCTACCCATTCAGGTAGGGAATGGCAATTCATGCTTGCTAGCCTCACAGAGGGGGGTCTTTCTTTCTTCTGTGGTTTGTCTCAGAAAAATGCAGTCTTCCAGGGACGCTGGGTAAACAGAAAGGATTCTGCCTGTACCCATGAATGCCGAAACACAGTGCCCACTCACCACCTAGTGTGGGTACTGGGATGATTTATGAGTTGTGCCTTCAAGACAGAATTGATTCTCCTCCAAAAAAAAGGAAAAAGAAAAAATATATACTTGCTACAGAGAGAAGGAGGGAGGGGAAAAGAAAGGGAGACTAGGAAAATAATTGTAAAACATGATAAAATAAATTCAAGAAATATTTTTAGCATGCTGCCTTTCTAATGCACATTTTGATTCACCAAGAATGACACATTGTTTCCCAAATACATTTGACCGCAAAAACTTTTTTTTTCAATGAGTATCCCAAAGGGTCTGCATACTATGGAACACATCCTTAATATATATGCCTAGTGTTCCTAGTCTAAGACAAAGATGACTCAGTTCATACGCGATAGATCATCATAGAGAGGTAGCATTGATACCAATATTCTTACTGGTTTTTAAGAGTAGAACTGACAAAAGTTGCAAATACCTCTGCTCAAGTAGATACTCTCCTAACTAACTAGTCAGAGAGTACAAAGCTCAGAAATATTAAGCATATAGTCCCTGGAAATTTAATAATAAGAGCTGTGCTGTGTTGGTAGAAATGGACATGCAAGTGCTTAACTTCTGAAAGCTCTGGACCAACGCCTTGGCTTCTGGAGGAGAGTGGCCAAGCCAATGCATGCTTAGAGATTATCATGCATGATCTAGGACAGGAGATGAGAATTGCCAATGGCTAGGCAGCAGGGCTGGGATGCTTTGTAACATTCAACATGAAATCATAAGCTCGGCATGACTTCTACGGTGATTTCCCACTAAGAGACATGGCAGGAGCAGGTAACTTGAAAGTCAGTCTCTCAAGATAAGGCAACGGGTCCCTAAACACTGAACTATCAGAGCCCAGGAGTCTCAGTCTTTTCCTCAAACTGGAGGAGAGTAATCAGGAGACCTCTCTGAACTAGAAACAAGTACCTGAGCTGGTGTGGCCATGGAAAGCTGGGTAAAGTCTAATTTCATAAAATTCCTGCTTAAGGATACAATTTGAGAAGACACTTCAAGCACAGGTTCTATCACTGGGCTTCTTTAATTTCTTCCCAAGACTACATGTTCAAATGATTGGCCCAGTGAAAGGCAGCTAGAGAAATTAGATCAAAACGTATTGCCATCTATAGCAACCCCCTCATTTAAAAGATTTTTACTTGGATTCTGAAACAAATATGGTTAATCATTATATTTTTTAGTAGCACAGCTTTTCTTTCAAACATTATCTCACTCAGAAGCTCCATGTATACAATAGATATGAGCCACTGAGAAAGGTGGATCAGAAGAAGGGAACTTGAAGCCCCCAGCTGGTCCTCCTCGGCCTTCTCTCTGCCACACACCTGCCCACTCCCCACTAGCCCCTGTGAGATCTCCTGGGAAACCTAGGTCTCCTAAAAACAAATTTAAAACCACTATTCTAGGATAAAGCAAGAAATAGTTTGTCACTCTTCTTACCACATCTTAGGTTTTCTGCTACTGTTAAGGAAGCAGAATTAGCCAATTTCATTTTATAGACTGTCTTGTACTTTTGCTCCCATAAGTGTTCATCTAGGAGATATACACACCATTCCAAAATGGCTCCATTTACTAGGGTTGCAATTTCAATTTTACATTTGTGTATTTTAACATGTACCATTATCCATGTACATATCCATAACATGTAACAATATCCATGTACATGTACATATTCATAACATGTACCATTATCCATGTACATATCCTTAACATGTAACAATATCCATGTACATATACATATCTATAGCATGTAACATTATGGGGAAAATCTCAATAAGCCAGGATTTATACAGGTTATTATGAAGACATTTGTTTCAGAAGAAGTATGGTTAGTGAGATCTTGATGATATAAACGATTAAAAAGTAAAAAGTGATAATATCCAACATTATAAAGGGTGGAGAGAAATGCAGGCTCTAACATGTGGTTGGAAATAATGTGTACTGATAAAGCTTTTTTGGAAGACAATTGGAAGTAGCTATCAAAATTTAAACGTACACCCTATTTAATCCAGCAATACCATTTCTAGAGATCTACCTTCAAAATGTTCATATTAAATACACAAATATATGCATATAATGGTGTGCACTGCAGCATTGTTAATAATAAAAGACTGAAACAAACCTGAATGTCCATCAGCAGGAAGCAGGCTCAATGAATTATTTACATATGTCCTATGCAGAAGTTTTAAAAGTAAATGTACAGATATAGAAAGATGTTTAAAATGTATTGCTAAAGGGAAAGTAAGTAGCATCATGTTAAGAAAAAAATATAATTGTAAATGCACAATATAATTTTAAATGTATGCACCTATATGTTTATATATATTTGTAAAATGTAAAGTATGGAAAGTTAACAAACAGTTAATAGGGATTCCTTCCGGGGAGGGATGTGTGATTTGCAGGGGTCATACATTTACTTTTAACTCGACATACTTCAGTATTATTTCAGTTATTAAAATAGGCATATGTTACCTTGGTAATTTTTAAAACACTCCTTAAAAATGAGTCACCCTATGGCTTCCAGTGAGATGATATGATAAGACACAGCTTCTGGAGAGAAATAACTTATGGGAACTCCAACTGAAACTCCCAATGGATTGAAGTAGATGGAAAAAAATGTGTATTTTCAAGGTGAATGGCAACAAGCAGATGTTGAGACAACTCAGCAGTTTGAAGTAGGTGATTATAAAAGCATTGCTTATGCTTAAAAAAAGTTATTTTCTCCTAAAATGTTATAAGCCAATGCCAATGATATGATGATAATCTTAGAAACAAAATAAGAACATCCAGTAGCTGTTAACTATTCAGTGTATTGCAAAGACCAAAAGGACAATAAACTCAAGTCATTTGAACAAAACAATTAGTTTGTAAATGATACATCAAAGGAAGCTACTTAACCAGTTATCAGACACATATTTGAGGATGTTAAATAATGTCAGTGTTGAAAATTCTAGATAACTCACAAAGTAATAATGTGCTGCTTCTAATATATGTGCCAAAGTGCATACCTCCTTTACACCACTATATGTATGTGTTTCTGATTCCTATGAGAAATAATTGACATTCAGCAATGTATCATTTTGTTGCAGACATAAAACATTTGTCACCTTATCTTCCTTATTATTTGCAATTAAAATGAAAAGCTATCACTTAACTGTTTTCTCATCTGCAATAATATACTACAATTGGTATGAAATTTGATAACTAGGAGGAGCGTAGTTCTAGGTACCCTACTTTTGGTACTTCCTTTATGCACCGAAGTGGAAAGTAGGGTTTGTCATTTTTAGGTACTTAATATATTTGCAGAAAGTCTACTCTAGGAATGTCATGTAACATTTGCACTTATACATGAATAAAAGATACAGGAAGGGCAGAGTTGAGGGGTTATGAACAAACATTTTCATAGAAAAGGTAATGGAGAAGGGTCAGAATGATGAATGAACAGATATGCGAACACTTATTGCAAGGGCACAATGTGCCAAACACCATGCTAGATACTTTGACATAGATTAGATTATGTAGGTATTACACAGACTCTGTGAAGGAGGCTGCTATTGTACTGATTGAGAAGACTGAGCTGAGAAAAATTTTCTTGACATCAAACAGAAAATTAAATATAAACTTTTGGATTTTTAAAATTTTACTGATTTGAATAAAAACAAGAAGAAAGCAAAGTTTAGGCTGTTTGGAGCATGGTGAATAGAACAAAAATTTATGATGGACCAAAATGATAAAGTTAGAAAGGCCATATTTTTGCCCAATCATGGAAGGCCTTGAATTCCTTGTAAGTTGAATAGAAAGAAGGAGTTAAAGATGACAAAAGGAAAACAACAAGGAAATCTGTTTTGAAGTAGAGGTTACAGGTTTGAATTTGATCATGCGGAGTTTGAGATGCTTGTTAGAAGCATAGGGGAATTTTCTATCAGGATGTTTCATGCTAAACCCTGTGTAAGATGAGTGAGATAAAGACTGGAAATGAAGCTTTAAGAGTCATCATCATTGGATGAAGAGCGGTCACAAAAAGAGACAGAATGGGAACTGTGGAGGATGCCTCTGCTTGTGATTGAAAGGGGTCACTGAAAGAGACCAATAGGAGAAGACTAGATGGAAAAGAAGTTGGATGACCCAGAAAGTTCAGGTTTTTCAGAAGTTAAGAAAACTTTCTGCACATGTATCCCAGAACTTAAAGTTAAATAAATACAAACAAAGATAAAATAAAATGAAATGAAATATAAAAAGGCCGGGTGGGTGCATGCTTGTAATCCCAGCACTTTGGGAGGCCAAGGCGGGCAGATCACTTGAGGTCAGAAGTTTGAGACCAGCCTGGCCAACATGGTGAAACGCTGTCTCTACTAAAAACACAAAAAATTAGCCAGGCTTAGTGGCTCATGCCTGTAGTCCCAGCTACTGGGGAACCTGAAGCACGAGAATCACTAGAACCTGTGAGTTGGACGTTGCAGTGCACTGAGATCACACCATTGCCACCACTGCACTCTAGCCTGGGCAACAGAGTGAGACCTGGTCTCAGAAAAAAAGAAAGAAAAAGAAAACTTTGTATATGCTACCATTCAGCAACGTTGAGTATTTCAAAGAAAGAAAGGAGTGAAAAAATGAGAGAAAGCCATTGAATGTAGTTAATCGTGGTTATTAAAAGCTTTCATGGGACATTTCAGTAGGAGAGAAAGCATGCCAAGCTGTTGGGAATGGAAAAAAGAATTCAGTATATTTCCTCACAGACTAATAAAATGCAAATTTTGAAGGACCCTAATTTGTGTATCTTAAGCCTTCAAGATACAATATTTGTGGAGAAAGAGACTAAGTTTGTTA